AGTTTAACCCTTTCTGTGGTTGGACATCCTCACCTTCCATGCTAGATCATTCCTTGGTCACAAATTACCATTGCTGAGCAGTTACACCTTCACCTGCCGTGGTCCGTCTATACTCTGTGTGCCTGTAGATGAACTTTTTATCACATAATGTAACAATCACTAGTTCTGGGGGCCATTGGACTCCAGTGGGACAGCTGGCTCCATCCTTCTGGTGCAGCAGCAGGCACTGTTCATCTGGCTGGCCTGGGTGGGTCCTGGCTCCATCTCCATCCTTACAGAGGAATAACATCACATCCCAGCACTGGCACGTGTAGCAGATGTTCATGGCTGTCCCAAGTCCCACCACAGCTCTGAGGCTCACAGGGATGAAGAGCTTGGGAGAGTGTGAATCTGCATGGAGAGGGAGTGAAGCCATGAAGCACTGCACACCATTGTGGTAAGGAGCAAGGTGACAGAAGGAAGAAGGCGAGGAGGCTTCCCTGAAGAGGTGTCCCACTGCATCCTCTGAAATTTGTCCTGCAGTTGCCACAAGGTAGCGTGTCCTAGAGGTGTTCTTATCTTCACATGTTCCAAGTGGTCTCCATGTCTTTGTGGTCTTCATATAGGCTATATGGTTTGTAGTCCATGTAGCCTCAATGTGGTATCCTTGCGGTTCTCATGGGTGTGGTCTATGCAGTCAATGTGATTTCCCATGGTGTCCACATGGTCTGTAACAGCCCATATGGCTTAAATTCATCTCTTGTGATCTCTACAGTGCAAGTGATTGCCATGTGGTCCCCATGATCCATTTGATACAGCCACTTCATCCAGGACAGTTCAGACGATTCTGAAGGCCAGTCATAGGCAGGAGACTGGAAACCACCCCTCTGGGGTTCCTGTCCCTTCCAGCCCTGATGTCCCCCTGTAACCTCTCCCCAGGGAATCTGTCGACACTCACTGGTGTGCTGCCCTGTCTGAGCAGCCAGCACGCTATAGTGAGATGGTAAGAGATAGAGGGAGGGAGGGACGGACGGATGGATGGACGAACAGACGGACGAAGAGGGTCTGTGAGGTCCTGGTTTGAGATAGTTGCCCTCCACAAATGCACACCCTGATCCTACATCTTCCTGGATACATGTCTGGCTCCCATGTGTTGCCCCCAGATATGTTGATTCTGTGATTCCGTCTTGGTCCTTCCCCACCCTTGACACACGTATTGTCCCACATTCTCCACCTGGATGCATATCCTGGTCCTACCTCAACCCAGAAACCCCTATGGATGGCCATAGGTCCAACTTTGTCCTTTCCGGTCCCATACCTCACCAGACCCTCTGTCCCTGACCGCCCCTGGGCTCAGGGACTCTGCAAGACAGGGACGACCCACTTTGTTCCCCAGTGCCTATGTCCCCAGAAATGCCATTCTCAGTGCCCTCCAGGTCCTTGTATCCTCCCATTCCCTCTGTCTCGACACAGTTCTTGTGAGTGGAGGATGTCCTCAGCTGCCTGTCCATGGGGACATGCCGCATGGGATCTACCAGGTCCACCAGGCAGGGACATTCCTCTAAGAGGTGACCTTTTTGAAGGATTCAGGTGGGCTTATGATCACCCAGAGTCTCCTTTTGACCAGGGGCATGGGGAGTTGGAAGAGACCTGCTAAGCCTTCCCTCTGATCAGTCCCACCGCAGCCCTTCAGAACCAGCCCCCCCCCAGCCCTCCACCCCATGGCCATGCCCCCATTCCCCCCCCCACTCCACCCACAGCAATCCCATCCCACAGACGTGTCCCCAAGTCCCCCCCCCACCCCATGGCTACATCCCACAAGTACCCATCATGCCATATACATGCTCCACATCCTCCCTACCCTATTTCCACGTCTCTGTGTTCTCCTCACCCCACTGCCTCCATGCCCCCACCACAGAGCCACATCCCAGTATCTCCCTGACCCATAGCAATCCCACCTCACAGCTATGTCTCCATGTCCCCACATGCCACAGTGATGTGCCCCTGCTCACAGGAAGCCCACCCCACAGTGATGTCCCATGTAACTCCATCATCCCATAGCTGTGTACCCACCCATGGCTTCCACCCCATTGTCATGGCCCTGTGACGGACAGTGATGCGAAGATGACCACAACAGGTGTACTGCGCATACATTATGTTCCTGCCTGGGCATCTTCCAAGAAGTACACACCTTCTGAGAAATACATAAGACTACCAAGAATGAGACAAGAAGAAGATATAAAAGGAAGGTGACCTCTGTGGAGGGCGTACGTACCCACCACTGACGACTGGATGAATGGTAGAAGCAACACTGGATCCAGGGTGGTGACTATCTCTTGCTAATCTATCTCGATCACTTGCTGCTTCTCTCTTTCTTCCTCCTATTG